AGTGAGATGCTAAACGTGTCTGTTCAGACGTAAGCGCTGGGATCTGTGTCAAAGTTTGTTTGCCTAGGAATGCATATCAGCTTTCTTATTGATAGTTGTTTTTATCACATGCTAAGCAATGTCATCACTCCTTTTCTAACAGATAGATGTAAATGATATCTTGTAAATGATATGTTGCTAACAGAGCTGGGAGAATTGACTCAGATTTGATTGGTTTAGCTTTTTCTGCAATCAAAATCAAGAGTGACCCGAAAAAGCTAAAGAAAGGGCTTTTATTTCTTTCTTTTTTTTTTTTAAAGGGACTCTTTTAACAATGCAAAGTAAAAGAAACTGAGTGAAGTGATTGAAGAGAAAATAAATGATATTCAGAATCTGGCTGTGGCTACCTCAAGCTGTTGTACCTGGAAATGAGAGAAAGAAAATATATCACCTTCAAACCATTGGTTTTCTATACAGCGGCTGAACCACTGCCAAGTTCTTTGAAATCTCATCCTGCAAAAACCTTAAATGGAATATAATATATTGCATTATTCATCTAGAGTTTTGTACCCCTTTGATATGATTATTTCCCAAATGCTTGGAAGTCCATTTAATTCTGATAGGTAGCTTTTGCATTCTACAAAGTATTAGAAAGATACTTCAAATAATGTAACTGTTCCAAAATAAAATCATATCATTTGCCCCTGAATTTTTTACACTGAAAACATAGAGCATCAGCCACTTTACGAATGGAAAAAAAAGTGTTACAGCCTATGTCATATATTCATGATTCCTATGCTTATTCAGAAATCTTTACTATCCCCTTTTTCTGTGGCTCAGCCTTTTTGCAACGCGTACAGTCTCACCTTGCAATGCGTTCAAAATGCATCATTTTAAATTGAGAATTTCTGAAGAAAAATCTCCTTTTTTTGGCTGAGCTTGCAGCGAATTATTAGACGTCTCTGAAGGCTGTTCTATCTTGGCTGAATTCCATTCTGCCTCTTATTCCAAGAAGTGTGGGTCTCAGTGAAATGTACAAAATTCCTTAGGTTAAATGAGGAATAATTTTTGATAGTTCAAAAACACTACAGGCCTAGGTTTCGTTAAAAGAGTCTCTGCGCCCTATTTTTATTAATAGATTTTAAAAAATGATGCTTTTGGTTATTCGTAAACTATAGTTTAACTCAGTGGTTCTCGACCTTTTCTTCACCATGGACCCCTAAGATTTAACTCAAAATTTAAATCATAACATTTCTTCAAGCCTTCGCAGACACCCTGTGAGACTATTGTGCCCCCTCCCCAAGGGTTCACACAACCACAGGTTGAAAACCACCAGTTTGCCATCCTAAGTGTACTTCCCGTATCTGGATTTCAGTGGTCATGTTGGTTAGAGAATTCTGGAAGTTGATATCGATACAAGGATTTGGATTTTGGTTTAATTGATGACAAGGTTGGAACTAGGGTAACTCAGGAAATGTAGTTCTTGTCAGACCTTTCGCAGAACAGTCCAACTAAAGCAGATCGATTCAAACTGAACAGAGGAGAAATGATTAATTAATAGGACTTGATTCACTGCAGAAAAAGTCAAGGAGCAAGAAAGAGGCCAGCAGAAATCAGTGGAGTAGTCCCAACTGGCTGAATTTTTCCAGTCATTTTACAATGTGATCTGGACAACGATAGAAAACCAATTGATTGACATCTTGTATCTGTGGTGTAATGAGCTTCACCCTCTGAAGATGCTATCCAAGCTGCTAAGAGTTCTTGCCTGATTTTTGTAGTTCCAGATTTCTGAGTTGCTAAGGAGATGGAGATTCTATTGTTCTCTGCTTTGAAGAATCTGGCATATAGTACTGTCTTTTGAAGCGAGCTTTCTGGTATACTTATAAATGTTAACCTTACCTAGAAAGCCAGCCTTCCTTCCTTCCTTCCTTCCTCCCTCCCTCCCTCCCTCCCTCCCTCCCTCCCTTCCTTCCTACCTTGTCCTTGTCTATTTTTTTTTTTATTATGATCATGATTGGTCGCACAGGACGCCTATTGTTTAGGCAGATATTGTTATTTAATGGCGTTAAAGGTATTGTTGCAGGGTGTAAGCAATTCCCAAGTACAGCTGTAATTTGGAATTGACTGATCTCGATTTTGTCAATGTCAGTAGTGTTCAAATGGTTTTCCAGATGTTTTGGAATTGCACTCAAGCTGCCTATGGCTATATATCATGGTCATCATTGCATTTGGTCCACTTCCTTGCATCAGAATTAGAGCCAAAACACAGGCTGCTTTTTTCAAAACAAAGTTACCAGTGTTCCAAAATCCTTATCTTAGATGCTATCATTTTCAATCGTAAAATGGATCTCAGTAGAGACAAAATTTTAATCATGATATTCCAGCTGATGTATTTGCTTGGTAACTTAGCAGCCTGGATGTGTTAGTCACCCTTTCATTTTGTTCTGTTTTTCGACCAACATTGTTTTGGGATCTGCCTAGATTTGTACAGATCCATGTAGATTTCTGCTGCTCTAAGTCTGCCCTTGTTGATGCTTAGTCTGTCTATTTCTTTAGATCTTCAGGAGAGAACTTTTTTGAACTTTATTTGTGTTATATGGCTTGATGATCCGATGCAAAAGGCTCTCTCATTTTAATTCCCAAACTGTTCAGTGTGCTCCGTGGAGCTGCAAGCAGTTATTACTGTCCGCTTTTAAAATTTTGACGCATTTTTCAGATTAGCCCTTTGATTGTGGAAGGGAGCGTGGCTTTAAAATATTTTATTTATATTGTTGAATTAACATTTTAGATTACAGCACCTCAATGTTATATATGCGGTGGATTTTTTTTAAAAAAAAGAAAATCCAAAGGATGGTACATAAATATTAGGGCTGCAGAAAGCCTCAAAGGGACACTTCACTTTGATCAAAGCAGACTTCTAAGCTCTTTTGAAAAGTGTCACAACACACTGCTTCTAATTGGCAGAGCAAAGTGAACACTGTGCTTTGCTTTGCCTGTCAAATCTGGTTTCTGGACTCACACACCACATGTGCAGAAGCCACTTTTTGTGAAGCTAGGGAACCCCCTTGATCAAGGCAGATTGGGCCTGTCTTGACACATCTAATGGAAGCATCAAGTCAGTGTGTGTTATTGCCTCGATGCAAAAGATCTCCTTGAGATAACACACGATAATTGTGTGCAGCCTAATAAATATAATTAAATCAATCAATGCTTCCATCATTGCACAAGGATAAACATTTTACTACTGAATCTACCACCATTAAAACAAGATTAATACAATATTTACCATATACAGGACCATATTGGTATGATATTAAGAATGGATATTTATCTTCCAGGAAATGGTCATCCTGCTTTCTTATTCTGTTAATATAATTACTGGAAGAATTATATTCATATTTGAGCTTCTAATGGTTTGGGAGCTACCTGTGTGGATTTTTCTGTTTCTTCTTTGATGAGCTGATGAATGTTTTCTTTATTTTAGCTAACATTAGTTAATTCCATTATCAAAGACAGCATGAAAGAAAACCACACACTAGATTCTCCCTTACCAATTTGGGAGTTCCTTACAATTCTTCCTTGGACAGAAATGATGGCTTTGAAACATTTCCTGTAGCCAAATTAAATATTTTTTTCTATTAATTTGGATTACACATCCCTCCCTTCTTCCCCTGAAGCACTCTTCCAGATTAGAAACATTCTTACATATCCTTACAGGCTTTGCATATTTGAGATACTGAAATTCAAATCTGGGAAATTTGGAAACCCTCCCCAAGTCTTTCTCATTCTTTCCTGGTTTCTTGGTTCGTTTGGAAGTATGTTCCAGGTCACTGTCTTGCTGAAAGATTCAACTGTTTCATCATTTGAAATGAGAGATTTAGATAGATAGATAGATAGATAGATAGATAGATAGATAGATAGATAGATAGATAGATAGATAGATAGATAGACAGACAGACAGACAGACAGACAGACAGACAGACAGACAGACAGACAGACAGACAGACAGACAGACAGACAGACAGACACTATAGATAGATAGATAGATAGAGAGAGAGAGAGAGAGAGAGAGAGAGAGAGAGAGAGAGAGAGAGAGAGAGAGAGAGAGAGAGAGAGAGAGAGAGAGAGAGAACCTTTATTGTCATTTTTTTTCCTATGGGCACAATGGCACACATTAAAAATGAAATTTAGTTGCTTCCTCTCAAAGTGTACACATACATAACACATTTAAAACACACTACATACAACATATGTATAGACCTACACCCTTACATATAAGTAACATATAAATATTAATCACCGTCCATCTTGAATACATAATGGAAGGAGGAAGCTTTAGAGTTCACAAGGTGAATACTGTATGGAATAAAATTGTGACTGAATCTGGATGTTCTGCTGTGGATACCACAAAGCCTCCTCCCAGTAGGTAACAAGGAAAACAGGTTGTGAAGAGGATGTGTAGTGTCCCAGACAATCTTGCAGACCCTGCTTGAGCAACGCTTCTGTGCTATGTCCTGGATGGAAGGGAGGGAACTGCCAATGATCTTTTCAGCCATCCTCACCACTCTCTGCACCGCCTTCCTGTCTGAAGCAGGGATGCTTCCAAACCAGACTGTGATGCTGTATGACAGGATGCTCTCAATCGTCCCCCTGTAGAAAGTAGTAAGGACAGGGGAAGGAAGATGTGCTTTTCTCATGCAACGCAGAAAATGCAGGTGCTGCTGTGCCCGCTTCACTAGTGTCTTGCTGTTGAGCGACCAAGCCAGCCTATTTGTTAACTGCATACCCAGTGAATTTGATGCTGGTAACCATTTCTACAGGTGATTTATTGTCTCTGAATGTCGATATTTCATTCTGTTCACTCATTTCTATTTTGTTTTCTTGATTCCAGGTAGTCCTCACCTTACAATCTTTTGTTTAGTGACCATTCAAAGTTACAATAGCACTGATGTTTGGGAGAGACATATGAAATCAGGGCCTTGAACAAAATCCAATGTTGTTGTTGTTTTTTTTGTCCTTAGGTACATACGTTACTAAAGTGACAGCTACCGACGCAGATGATCCTGTTTATGGAAACAGTGCCAAGCTAGTGTACAGTATTTTGGAAGGACAACCTTATTTTTCAGTTGAGCCACACACAGGTAAGTGCTTCAGAATGTCAACTGACTTTCATATGTGATATGGGGGGGAAATGCTTCCCCAATGCTGTTTTGTGTCCTGCATTTAAACGTAATGCGTAGGTGGGTGGCTGCTAACATTAGTCAATCTGTAGAGCATAAATAGGTGACTCATTATCTCACCCTTCCATCCAAAGGGACTGGCAAAATATAAACATTAAAATGAAAGAAAGATGTTTATAAATTTTGTTGAGGCAACCAAGGTGCTAAGAGGGAAAAAAGTGAACAGCTCATTGTAGTCAAATAGTCTGCATTGTGAAGAACAGGAAACCATTTTGGTAGTGTTTGTGAATGCAAATTCTTTTCACAATCATAAAACCTAAGTTGTGTTACTTTTATGGAGGCAGAAAAGTTGTGTTACTTTTATGGAGGGAAAAGAAAGTTGTTTGGACAGAGATAGGTTATTTGTTATTTTATTGAATTTTATGGCATTCTTATGTTATCACTTGTGATTACAAAAAATAAACCAATTTACTAACTTACACACAGATGTAGACAAGAAGAGGTTACTGAGAAAATATGTGTTTTGCACCCAAGAGACTACATTGTTAATCTCTGACATCTCCGGTTTGAAATGATAAATTTATCTTTTTTATTAATTGGTTTTAATTATAGTCTAGTAAACAGCTTAAGGCAAGATGTCCCTTAAGATTTTCCTCAAGGTTTTTCCCCCATTTATAGACTTTCTGCAATAATTCAGTTTTAAAGTTTGGCTCAGTTTTGGGGCTGAATATCTGAATATGCCCAGTTTTAATCCAATGCTTTAATCAATATTCTCATTCCAAATCTTCTCAAGGGGTATCATGAAATCTGTTTTTCTCTTAGCCTTGGAGAGCCTGTCAGAGTAGACTCTGGAACTCTTGAGCTAAGGACTTCCTTTGTATTTCTCTCACATTAATATTTACAATTTGGTAACCATTGTGGAGATCTGTGGGGGTTCACACATGACTCTGGGAAGCATTGTATAGCCTCAGGGGCTTAAATTATATACTAGGCTAGGGGTAGGCAACCTTGGCTCTTTTTATGACTCGTGGACTTCAACTCCCAGAATTCCTGAACCAGCCATGCTGAGGAGAAAGGGACAGGTGTCCAAGCTGGGCCATGCTGGCTCAGGAATTCTGGGAGTTGAAGTCCACGAGTCATAAAAGAGCCAAGGTTGCCTACCCCCGGGCTAGATGAATCAAAATAACATGGTTCAAAGTAGGTTCATCTGCCATTTTTAGCAAGGAAGGTCTTGAAAAAAGTTAGAAGCCCTGCCTGAAGTATTTAAAATCAAAGGGAGAAGAAGAACTAAGAGGAAGCAGTGGGAAGGTAGGAGATTCCATAGTACTATGAACTAAATGGGGGAAAAATGCAGTTTCATATGTTTAGATTCTAGATTTGGCTGAGAATGTCAATAGATAAGGGATGATTCTTTAAGATAAAAGTGCCCTATCTTTGCACAGTTTTTCCCTATACACAACAAGAAAATTTGAAGTTTACCATTTTGCATCCTGAGAGAGGATGCAAATAACGTTGCAATCTATCTTTAGAGTTGAAGAAATTAAGTCAGAATTGTTGAGTTTTTTTCTCTCTCTCGCTCTCTCTGGATTTGAGGGTTTGAATGGAGTGGGAGGAGGTTTTAAATACACAGGGGGAGTCAAATGTGCAGAGGCTGTGATGTTTATTATGCACAAGATGTCTATGAAGATGTTTTCTTTCTTAATCTCTCTTTGCATACATACAGGTATGCTCTTGAGTAGAATCAGTTTTTTTTTTAATACTGCCATTCAGGAATTGCATTGCAGGAAACAATATTGTGGAAATCTTTGGATTCAAATTCCTTTCAGCTTGCCACAAAATTTTATGTCTTCTGCTCTTCCTTTAAATGGTTCAGACATGGATAATTCTTTCTTGGCCTCTTACACATTTGTGTGTATGTGTGTGTTGCTACATTTTATTTATAATAATAATAATAATAATAATAATAAAGTTGGAAGGGACCTTGGAGGTCATCTAGTCCAACCCCCTGCTCAGGCAGGAAACCCTACACCATTTCAGACAAACAGCTGTCCAGTCTCTTCTTAAAAACTTCCAGTGTTGGAGCATTCACCGCTTCTGGAGGCAGGTTGTTCCACTGGTTAATTGTCCTCACTGTCAGGAAGTTTCTCCTTAGTTCTAGATTGCTTCTCTCCTTGATCAGTTTCCATCTGTTGCTTCTTGTCCTGCCTTCAGGCACTTTGGAGAATAGCTTGACTGCCTCTTCTTTGTGGCAGCCCCTGAGATATTGGAACACTGCTATCATGTCCCCCTCGTCCTTCTCTTCATTAAACTAGACATACCCAATTCCAGCAACCGTTCCTTCTATGTTTTAGTCTCCAGTCCCCTAATCATCTTTGTTGCTCTTCTCTGTACTCTTTCCAGAGTCTCAGCATCTTTTTTACATCGTGGTGACCAAAACTGGATGCAGTATTCCAAGTGTGGCCTTAAGGCATTGTAAAGTGGTATTAATACTTCACGTGATCTTGATTCTATCCCTCTGTTAATGCAGCCCAGCACTGTGTTGGCTTTTTTGGCAGCTGCAGCACACGGCTGGCTCATATCTAAGTGATTGTCCACTAGGACTCCGAGATCCCTCTCACAGTTACTACTATTGACTATTTATTTCTTAGTATTTTATACTTAGGACTTCCTTCCTTCCTTCCTTCCTTCCTTCCTTCCTTCCTTCCTTCCTTCCTTCCTTCCTTCCTTCCTTCCTTCCTTCCTTCCGAACAAATGGCCTCTTCAAATTTCAGATGAATACACAGATATTTAAAATTGCAAGGAGTGAGAGAAACACGAGGCCTATTTTCTTCTCTGACAAATGGCATTTTTGAATTAGAAGATCTGACTAATCAAAACATAATACATGTAAGGTACTTCAGTCTTCTTTGGAAGACAATTTTGTGACATAAAATTCAATCTCCTGCTGGCATAAGGAAATTTATTTATTTGTTTGTTTGTTTAGCAATTTATTATTATTATTTTTTTGCCGTTCATCCCACCACAAGACAACTGTAATGTACATTTCTTGGATATATGTGTTTCTTGAATAACAAATTGCTCATTTTTAATGCAAGATAATTACATATATAAAATATATATAAGATAAGCAATTTGCTGGAAAAAGTGCACCTTTTTTTGATAATGTGAGCACTTCTCAGTAATAAGTATGATGATAAATAATATGCACCGTGAGTGTTTTTATGAGCTTTTACATGCAGTTGCTGGAAAACCAGAACTAAAGGGGGGTAGAGTTTCCAGCAGTTTGTGTCACTCTGAATTTTAAACTTTCTAGAGGCTTCCATGCATAAAACATACAAATGATACCGAGTTCTCACTGTCTCTCTCTGAGGAAGTAGTTTTGCAGATTTTGTAATATCCATGTTCATCAGAGGTGAAATAAATACAGAGAATATCCAACAACGATGGGCAGGTTACAGATCTGAGTGACAAAGTAGGTGTTTTCAAACAGAAAAGTCTCTCGTAAGGCTGTGTAGTTCTCATCCCTATCAGTGAAAGAGAATTTGTTATTATTATTTTCTTTTTCCAGAGAGAAGAATTTCAAAGAAAAGCATATGAGAGGAGTATATATTCTTACACTTAAGTAGTGGCTGAGAGGAATATATGACTATCCTTTCTTTTACTATAGAAAAACCTCTCTGGTGAAGTCTATCCTAACTAGCTGTACTTAAATCACAAAGAAAGGTACGATAAGGAAACAAATTATTTTTTCTTCCTGATATTGAGAAGTGCAGATAGATGGCAGATTTACCATATTAGTGTCTTCAATTCCAAGATCACCCAGCTGGATTTGTGCCAAGACGGGTCTAGAACTCACAATCTCCCAGTTTCCAGGCAGATGCCTTAATCTCTACACCATACATATACACATACACATACTAGAAAACCATGACCTATTGGATCATTGTTTCCTCATTCTATGTTTTTTGTTTTCATTCTGGAGACATGCATTTGTTTCATCCTTCATTTCTTTATCTCTTTTGCTATTTGTTCTTTTTCTCTGATCCCAGAGACACGCATTTCTCTGCTTCTTTGTCTATTTTTCTTTTCTCCTTCTGTGCCTGCATGTCTCTCCTCTTCTCTCTCTCCATTCCTCATATTATTTGTTCTGATTGTTTGATCCTGTGATTGTACAGCCCTGACCTAATCAGATTATGGTTCTTTCATCCTTCTTGTACTTCCCAAACATTTCCTCAAAATAATTGGAGTGATGTACCCCAAAATAACAAATTGGTTGTTGTGTGACCATTTATGGAAGAAAATATCAAATTGATATGGAGACAGGCTGTGATGAGTCTGTTTTCCTCCAGAGACAATGACTAACAGAATTTCTACATGAAACATCTCCCCTTTTCTGCTAGATACGGTTCCTCAGGTAGATGGTTAGGGTTAGGGTTAGGGAGGAGGAGGAGGAGGAGGAGGAGGAGGAGGNGTGAAGAGGGAGTCAAGCTATTTTCCAAAGTACCTGAAGGCAGGACAAGAAGCAATGGGTGGAAAGGAGAGAAGCAACCTAGAACCAAGGAGAAACTTCCTGACAGTTAGAACAATTAACTAGTGAAACAACCTGCCTCCAGAAGCGGTGAATGCTCCAACACTGGAAGTTTTTAAGAAGAGACTGGACAGCCATTTGTTCGAAATGGTATAGGGTTTCCTGCCTGAGCAGGGGGTTGGACTAGATGACCTCCAAGATCCCTTCCAACTTTACTACTACTACTACTATTACTACTACTACTACTACTACTACTACTACTACTTATTATTATTATTATTATTATTATTATTATTATTAACCGAATTTTATTCCTGGAAATGGTGCTGAATCCCTGTGGAGAAGCCAAGTCTTAGTGAGATGCTAAACGTGTCTGTTCAGACGTAAGCGCTGGGACTTGTGTCAAAGTTTGTTTGCCTAGGAGTGCATATCA